TGATTCTTCTTTGTTTCCAACTTTTGCATTCCAATCAACAATGATAATCAACACATCTTGATTGCATGTTCAGTCAATTTCAGACTGCAGAAGTTGGTAAAAATCTTCAACTTCCTCATCTTTGGCTTTTGTGGTTAGTGTGTAAATTTGAGCAATATTAGTATTAACTCGTCTTCCTTGTAGGCATACGGATATTATCCTATCACTGACAACACTGCCATCATAAGATTATCTTTATCAATGTATAACTTTTAGATCACCCTATGTTGCCCTCTAAGGTAGTTTTAAAAGGAGAAAATAAAAAGTCAAAAAATAAATACATAAATACAAAGTAACTTTCCACTTGAAGAGTGTATGTGGTGAAAGGTGCTGCTTTGCCTTGGTGATTTGATAAAAAGGATAATTAATAAACTGGCCATAAATTAAGCTTAAATATCTCAAGTCTTCTTTAAAACTATTTGGGCAAGGTAATCTCCTTTGCCCCATGTGCTATATTAAATCACTGGTTAATCACCTGATTCCCATGATAATGCCTCAATTTTCCAGCCTCAGGTGTCTCTTCTGTGTCCACTAATGAACCTCCTTATTCAAGGAAGTCCAATTTGGATCCAGCTTCACAATATGGCAATTTGTATTCTTTACCATCAATACAGAAATTCTGTCTAAAAATTCTCTACTTTTTTCGGTTCTCTGAATTCAATTTGTTCTTAAGAAACAAAATACTTCTTATAATTTAAAAAAATTGTCAAAAGATATTCATCTACTCAGATCACTTATCCTAGATTTCTAGAACCTCATTTACTTAAAGACTTAACTAATCCTTTTTATTAAAACTTATACTCATCATAGACAGGTATTAATCTATTTGAAGGGAAAGGCAACATACAGAAAGGGGGAAGGTGAGCACAAAATGATCAAGTCAGTGGAAGACAATACTATTACATACATAATCCCACAATAATATTAATAAACACTAATTTAGGAGTGGATGCATGCAAACTGAACAGGGGTGGGAAGTCAAATGGGACTATACCCATACAGGTTTGACAAAAGCTATCTCTACCTATATATTAATATGTGCTGCAAATACACACAGGAATGTAGTAGAGTATACAG